CTGCTTTTCTTCCTCCTCCTGCTCTGAGCAGTGCAGTGGGACAGGGAATGGGGACTGCAGTCAGTTCATAGCACTTCATCTCCGCCATGCCTTCCTGCTCACGCTGTTCCCTGGCTCCAACATGGGGTCCCTCCCACAGATTTCAGTCCTTCATGAACTGCTCCAGCATGGGTCCTCTCCACACAGTGCAGTCCTCCAGGAACAGACTGCTTCAGCCTGGGTCCCCCACAGGCCACAGGTCCTGCTAGAAAACCTGCTCCATTGTGGGCTCCTCTCCACAGGCCACAGCTCCTGCCAGGAGCCTGCTCCAGCATGGGATCTCCACAAGCTGCAGCTTCCTTCAGGACATATCCACCTGCTGTGGTGTGGGCTCTCCAGGGGCTGCAGTGTGGACATCTGCTCCAACGTGGTCTTTCACGGGCTGCAGGGGGACAACCTATGTTACTATGGTCTTCTCCAGGGGCTGCAGGGTAATCTCTGCTCTGGTACCTGGAACACCTCCTCCCCCTCTTTCTTCTCTGACATTCATGTCTGTACAGTTGTTTCTCTCACATTTTCTCACTCCTCTTTCTCACAGCTGCTGTGCAGTGTGTTTTACCCTTTCTTAAATATGTTATCACAGAGGCTTCACCAGCATCGCTGATTGGGTCCCCCTTGGCCTGTGGTGTGTCTCTTTTGGAGGTGACTGGAACCGGTTCTGCGCAACTTGAGGGCAGCATCTGGTCTCTTCTCACAACAGCCACGCATACAGCCCCCCCACCCCACCCCAAGCTGCCACGTAAACCCAGCAGAGTACCACACAGACTTTTGCTGGTGATCTCATGGCTATGGGCTTAAAAGAGTTGTTGTATTTAATGGCCAGTTACACATTTATTTTATAAAAATACAAGTGTTCTGAATTTGCTGACCTTTTCTGTGATGACAAGTGTCTACCAGTAGTAGGATTTTCAAAAAAATAAACACATTTAATGTATGCCTTCAAGGTGAAAGTGATGTTCTGACAGTGAGAAAGCAAGTGCTTTGCAAAAGAAGCGTATTGTGTAGATTTTGCTGAAAATTACGTAAGCGTGCCATCTACAAAAACTCTCATACATGTACATTTACATAATTTGGAAACAGAACTTTCCAAAGGGATAGTTTCAATGGGTTTTGAACCAATTTGTTCAAGGTACAAAAATGCAACACCTCTGATTGGTTTGCAAAAAACTGACATCAGGGAAGATGCAAATTTACTAGCTGAATTTCAACAAAAACCTTTGCATAAGTTGTGGATGGGATTGAAATAATAGTATCGTGATTTAGGAAGCACAGCCAAGATTATACTTCTTCCATTTGGATTTATGTATCTTTGTGAGATATCTTTTTCAGCTATGACTTTTTCAGCCTATAAGACCAAGTATCGAAATAAACTGAACATAGAACTAGACCTTTGAATCACTGTATCACAAAGTGTTCAGCCGAGATTTTAAAAAATAATGAAGCATATCCAATCACATTGCTCTCACTAAAAATAATTGACTATAATATTTTTAGTGAGAATAAAAAAAGGTTTTGTACTATTAATAAAATACTATAAAAATTATTTTTTAATATTGTTTATTTCATATTTAATAGTTTTTTATTTTCATTTTTTGTGTATGTTCTAGAATGTATGTAGTAATTATATGTACATAATATGTACAGTGGTACATGTATATAATTTATAAATAAATAAATACGCATATATCAGGGGCACATGCTCAAAATTTTTTTATTCATGGGGTGTGTGATCAAAAAAGTTTGGGCACTGCCCTAGGCAATCATAGATTACATTAAAGCATTTGTAAACAATACTACACTAAGAAACTGCAAAAAATATTTTCAAAATTTGTCCCTCGATAACTGCCCACACCTTCTACTGTATTACTGACACCTATTCGTATCACTTAATTTATAAAAAGCCTTTGTGTTTTTTCTTCAGTTCAAATAAAACATCCTTCCCAAACCTTTTCTCTTAACCCAAACCTGTCCACTCACAAGACCCTGAAACTTTTTCTTCTTGCATATGGAAAGTGTTTGAATTCACTCCTTCTAGCAAGAACAACTGAATGTTAGAAGTATGCACATTCCATATGGGAGCAAGACTATGACTCTGTTAACACTTGTGCCATTTCTCCTGTATTTAATGCTGTGTATTTCCAGATCTTAAATTCCACAGGTGACTTCTGTATTTTTTCAGGAGACCAGAGCAAAATGGACTGGTGCAGCACTTTGGTAAAATAATTTTCATTTTCACTAGTCCTGTCTTCCTACAAATTTATTATTTCAGTTTGGAACACTCTGAATAAGCATGTAGTGATAATGATATTATTTAAAAATCTCCACACAGACAACATATAATCCTCTTTGTAACAACCATTTTATCATGTCTGATAAAGATAAGGAGCTGACCTGAGGCCCCATTACAAGGACATCCATTTTGTTTCTTAATGGTAAGTATTAACGGTAATACTAATGATAATGGTAAGTATTAATGGTAATAGCTTCTTAATGGTAATAATGGTAAGGATTTCTCACAAACTTGGAAGTGATAATTGTGCAATTCAGGGAGAGGTTTAGACATCAGTTATAAAATACAAATATGGGCATGTAAAGTGGGACATCAGACATCAGCATTCAAAACTGTAGTTGTAAAAACCCCCGTTCAGCTGCTGCATAACCCTAGACATGTCTGTATTTCATAGCACTAGGATGTCAGTATGTCTGGTCTGACACCTCTTCCTCTGCCAGTGCTAAGGAAAGCACCTGATTTCCCAGTGATCATTGAACAGACACCAGGGAAGAAAAGGAAAGAAAATGCCCAAATCTCTCTCAATGGAGTTAAAGAGATGCAGATATTTTCCCATCCAGAGTATTGTTCTCCTCCCCCTCTATTCTGCCCTAGTGCGGCCCCATCTGGAGTACTGGGTTCAGTTCTGGGCTCCCCAGTTCAAGAGAGATGAGGAGCTACTGGAGAGAGTCCAGTGGAGGGCTATGAGGATGATGAGGGGACCGGAGCATCTCTCCTATGAGGAAAAGCTGAGGGAGCTGGGCTTGTTTAGCCTGAAGAAGAGAAGGCTGCGAGGGGATCTTCTGAATTCCTATAAATATCTGAAGGGTGGGTGTCAGGAGGATGGGGCCAGGTTCTTTTCAGTGGTGCCCAGCGACAGGACAAGGGGCAACAGGCACAAACTGAAGCATAAGAAATTCCAGCTGAACATGAGGATGAACTTCTTTACTCTGAGGGTGACGGAGCCCTGGCACAAGCTGCCCAGGGAGGTTGTGGAGTCTCCTTCTCTGGAGATATTCAAGACTTGCCTGGACGTGGTCCTGTGCAGCCTGCTGTAGGTGACCCTGCTTTGGCAGGGGGGTTGGGGCCGTAGATACCCCCCGGGCGGCACAAGCTGCCCAGGGAGGTTGTGGAGTCTCCTTCTCTGGAGATATTCAAGACTTGCCTGGCCGTGGTCCTGTGCAGCCTGCTGTAGGTGACCCTGCTTTGGCAGGGGGGTTGGACTAGATGATCCCCAGAGGTCCCTTCCAACCCCTAACATTCTATGATTCTGTGATTGACCTTGACATACCTCTTCAAGGTACAGAGATTCCTGTTCTTCTTGGCAATGTCACCTTCAAATAATTTCAAATGATTTCAATCATTTCAAATCATTTCAATCAAAAGTGACAATGCCTTTTTGTCACGGGAAATGAGGTAGGATCCCTCTGTCTTTCTCCTCTGATATATAGCAGTTAAGACATTTAACTGAAAGTTGGAAGGCTTGGCCAGATTCTTGTCTGGCCAGGGTGAGTAACTTATCCTCCAGACCACTATGCTCCAGCATGGTGGGTGAATAAAAACAGCGACTAGAAGTGGGCTGGCAGTAGTCAAAGCAAAGAAACAAGGCAGCAGATCACATCCACATCATAACATAATCAGCAAGAGCAAATTCTGTGCTTGCTTCAACAGTTAGATGGTAGGAATGAGCTGCCAATCAGTGCAAACCGTATCTTTCTCTGCAGTTGGCTTTGATGTGATTGGTCCTTAAAGGTGTAGTTAGGCTGCTGGCTGCAGAACTTTAACGCTTAGGAGCTAGCACTGGGGGGGGGGGGGGGTGAAAAAAAAAGCAAAAACAAG